CACCGTTGTCGGATTTTCAATAGTCTGATTTTTTTATATATTTTATTTTTTACATTAAACCTACGTTTTAACATCGATCATTTAAAATCACTGTATTTCCTATCATTTTAAAGCCAATCGATGTTGCCGATAATAATACTTAAAATAACATCTAGATACATACATATCGATCCGTTTTGGGTGGGTCAAGTTCAAACAACGACATTGATACTACCTGCTAATATGTTGCGGTCTAACTGGTTTCTTCGTTGTTTAGATAAAAGGTATATTTATTTAACGTAGGTATTTTTCCCAGAGAATTATGTAGGGGAATATTTTACATAAATTTCAATTTACAACCTCTTTAATCCAAGCTATCGGTGAATAGTTTGAGGTAAATATTATGTTTTTATGGGATTACGCCTCAATTATTGGTTGTAATTGTGATAAGAATCACATTTTTAATTAACTTATGTTTGACATTTTGATTTTTATTCCGGAAATCGTTCTCAAAAACGTTTTTTTGTACAAAATGTGTATACACATTTTAGATAATTTGTACAATATACAATAAATATTAGTTAATTAAAAATGTAATTAATATTACATTTTTATATACATAATATACATAAAAAAATAATATTTAACTTAACCATGCAACCTCGGTAAATAGTTTTCAAAAATCTTCTACAGTTATTTAAATTTAAATTTTTGCTTGTAAAACGTTTTTTACATTATAAAGAAAAATGATTCAAATAAAAGTTGTAGACCATAAAAGGTTTTTTATGTTGAGGGATACCAAATTAAAATATATAAATAATTGGGCGAGGTAATTGCAAAAAACCCTAAACTCTAAAATATTATATTTTTAGTTATTTATAAATGTTAATAATTTAATTTTTTGCCCAACGGCAGATAATATAGCTACTTTAAATTATGGCAATTAATGGGTTTTTAAAGTGTGCTAAATATTAAGCAAATCACTTTGTACTTGTCCAAATACTTGTCCAATACTTGTATGTACAAGTATTTTGAAATTTGCAATCTCAATGGCTTATCAGAAAAGAAAGAGACAAAAACAGAACCTTATTTAACCAATAAGAACTAAGATAGCATTTAATTCTTAAAATCATATTTTCATTGTTTATTAATACTAAGATCTAAAAATTGAAAGGATTTTGAATTAAGATCTATAATATATGATCGAAGTTATAGATGGCATACACAGTAAAGGAGTAAACTGTTATAACTCATTAAAATAATGGTATTCGTAAATTACCGCCACGGAAAAGTACCACGGAGGTAAGAACTGTCTGAGCTTGTTTTTTTTTAGATTCGGACTTTAAATTGAAGCACGCTTGCAAAATAATTAATATCTCGGCTTTTGTGGCACGTAGAACCTTCATTTCTTTACTAGGGTAGCTCAACCAAATAATAAGAATTGTGCTATTTTGACCTATCTTACTAAATTTTTCCGTTGAAAAAATGAACTCTTATAAAAGCGAGTTCGATTTACAGAATACACGTGTGTATACAGAGTACAGAGTGACTATCTGGGCAAGTACAGTCGTTTAGATAATCGCTCTTTGGGATTAACAAATTGGATAACTTTGTGATCTATGTGAAATATACCACACTTTAATAACTTATTAACTGCCCCAATTTAAATTAGTTATATTAAATGTCATTATGTACAAACGAAGCTATTAACATTTATAAATTACTGCAAAATAATTTAGGGTTTTTCGGCAAAATACGAAAATACGTTTGTATTTTGAGAACGATTTCCGAATTGGAAATTGAAATGCCAATAAACGTACTTTCACCTTTAATTGTGGCTTATTCCCATTTAAATAGTAATTATGTCTTGTTTATCTCTGCACTTGGTCACACATATTCCTTCAGGGCTGTAAATACTGACCACTTTACGTTTTTCTTAGTTTCTTTGACACGTGGGGATTGTCTATTCGGTTATTTCTTAATATGGGCTAT